CCACGTTGGGAACGCAGGGTGCTCTAGACAGCCACCTGCGCCAGCCCTCAGGACTTTCCGCTAGAAGCCGCACGAAGGTACGTAGTGGCTGCGAGCCGATGCGCAACTGCTCTGATTGCTTCTGAGAAACCCAAGGCATACCCCAAACAGGCTCACTTCTCCTGAGTGGAGGGCCCCCCCCCCCCTCGCGCCAACGAGACGCTAACGGCGTCTCGCGCGCCCCCCCCCCCCCCCCCGCATTGATAACTCTGCGGCATCTGATGTGCTGGATCCATTCGAGCAGTGCGCCCTCACGCGCGAGATCTCCTCTCACCGGGTCGATCGCTATGTCTATGCTCAATGCTACGATCTCAAACGCGGGCTTCGCGCAGCTGGAGTAAAGATTGACACCGTAAGAGCCAGGCGAACGAAACGTACTCACCAAGATTATACACGTAGAATGGAGTTTCTCGCGCAGGGGCCTGACGGGGGGGCCATCAGAAAATAGGTTAATGCACACGTCGATTCTGTCGTCGGGGATGGCGGGGTCGGTCTCGAGAAGAATCTGCAGGGCTTCTCGATGAAAGAAAGGCCACGCTAGATCGTCCACGAGCGGGTGCGAAACGATTCCTGCCTCACTAGCCGATGGGAGCCCCGTGCGCCATCGACCTTGACCAGTCGCCCGCTGCGCCTGAAGCCTAGCTTCTTCCTCGCACTGCAGCTGCTTGGCCTCGGCAATTCTACGCTGCGGTCTCGCCGCGACGAGGCCGATCGCACACTTCAAAGCATCGAAAGCAAGGTGAGCCGTAAGAGCCGACCGATGAGCGAAGCGCTGAAAGCAAGCGTCGCAACGTAGACTCGACCCCTGGAAGGTCCGAATGAAAGCAACCTGGGAATGATGAGCCCGACTGGCGCATGCCCGGAGCCCTCGAACTCGAGAGAATGCAAGACTGCACCACATACATCTGAATACTTTAGCCTCTTCCGACTCTTCCACTCTAAGACGACGACGCTTGTCACCACGGGCTGGCGGCGCGCCTGCCGACTCGAGAACTGGAAAATCTGCCCTTCAGCTGCGCGCGCCAACTCAACTCGCTGGAGCTGCCTAGCATGCGCTGCTAGTGCTCACAGAATTGGTTGTTTCCATGATGTAACTGATTTGCACGCCTCGAGCTCTCAAACTGCAAGGTATTCGTCGGGGTCGGGGAGATCTTGAGACCGTCGAGCATGCAAACGTAACCACCGAAGATCATCGATCACCATATGGCCCCAGGACCTCTCCGTGGCCAACTTTGGCCCGGTGGACGAGAGCCACGATACGCGGCGGGCCTGTTCGGAGTCGGCGACCAAAGAGGCGAAGCCTGCGAGCAGATAACAGCGCAGACAGAGGGCGACCCACCCTGGCGAGCACAGCTGCGCTGGGCACAGCATGCCCCTCAGCACGCGGCAGGCGGGCGATGGCGCGATAATATCGGAGCAGCCCGTCCGAGCTTCCGCAAGGCAACCCCACGCACAAGATTGAAATCAATGCCCATATCAAACTAGGAAGTCAAGGAAGACGAGGGCAACACGTTGCTCAATCGCGCCAGGCTTGGAAACCTTGCTCCCAAGGCCCTTCCATCGACTGCAACGCTGGAGACGATGAGCCAACTCTGGCCCCATTGAGGCCGACATGTCGCGCTCGGTTTCGAGATGGACACACTCTTGAACTTGGCGCGACAAAACCTCCCCGAGAGTGCTCGTGCACGCGTGAATGGCGCTGCACATGTCCTGGACCAAGGCGCGCTTAGCCTTGCGGGAGGAAGGGCCGCGAGACTGGAACAGGAAGGGTGACTTGTCTGGCTCGCCCTTGACCTGAGGTCCAAGCGACGCGAATGACTCCGTGGCCACAGCGGCGATAAACGGAGCCTGCGCAAGTAAAATACGAACCCTGCCAGCAAAGCAACACAGCGCGCCGTCAAAGAAAGCCCCGCCCATGGCGCGGCGCAAGTGAACGCGCACCTCGCCCTCTGCCGCTGACTGGGCACAAGCGGCCAGCGATGAGACGCGATGGGCAGGTCGCACGAGGTTAACACCTAACTCCAAGGGGCCCTCGCGAGCTCTGGCCACGAGTTGCACTATAACAAAGTTAAACATCCGATCCCCCAATTGTTGGCCAGGCCCCGCCCCCGGGGGCGGAAGCGCAGCCCCAGCCCCGTCATTGATATAAAACCAGGACTGATCGCTAGCGTCTGAAGCTTGCCCGCAGCGAAAGGCCGAAACCCAAGCTTGCTCACGATCGGAACGTGTACTTGGATGTAGTTGGCCAGCTCTCGGGTCGTCTCTGGCGGCAGCCCGCGGAACTTCGGCAGCTCGGCCGCTGCTTCGTCGTCGGCAGACGCGCGAAAGACGCATTCCCGAAACAGCGCGTAGAAGGCCTGCGCTGCATCGACGAAAAGCACCATTACCGAGCGATCCTGCGCCGACGCGAGTTGTTGAAATACTCGGAGCCCTAGCGCCGAGAACCCCGCGCCCCTCCCCGACAGACCGCCAAACTGACGATCTCCAGCGGCGTGCTTGAGCTGCGCGACTGCACTTGCGCGCGCAAGAGCACGAAATAACTTCCCAACCTGCGACGACCCCAGGATGGACCGGTACTTTTCGACATCGGCTCCTATAGAACCCTCCTTACCATTGAATAGGCTCACAAATTCTCACCGCGTTCTCGACGTACAGAGGGCGCTAAAACTTGCCAAGCTGGATGGCAAACTTCTTGGGCACCACTCCAGCGACGCCGTCGAACCCCGCCGCAAAGTCCCTGGCACGTCGAAGCGATAGCTGCGTGACACTGAGTGACGGTACGTCTTCAATGGCAAGACTGACGTCGTGCGCAACTGAAATCTATAACTGAGGTATAGACTTCAGGAACCATGGCAGAAAGGCACGAAGAGTGACTGGCGCAACTTCTTTTCCACTGAGGCTTTGGAGTCAGCAGTCTGCGATTTCGACGCGCGATCTGAGCAGCTTGTCGTTGAGCCCTAAGCGCATAGGGAGAAGGCGAGCCGATCGTTTGCGACGTGAGCAAGCTCCCACGGCACGAAGTTTGGCGAACGCAACCTTGACGCCCCGTCGAGACCAGGCCGACGTGATACCCTGGGCAAGCGAGACAGCGCGAGCCTTAGCGTCAAGGTTCACCCTGTGCGCAACGAAACTGGCCGTGGAAGCCCGAACAGCTAGGCAAAGATCTGAAAGCCGAACGAAATGATTCCAACAAGCATGAAAACCAGCAATACCAGTCTAGCCTGGAAGGGCCCATTTCGCTTCCTCGGTGGAAAAGACTCGGTTCCTGCTTGACTGAAAGCTGCCGCGCGCTCGAACCCAAGGCCTAAAGTAAGCTAAGTAGTCCTGGGAAGCCTTGCAGAACCTTACCTTCTTGAACCTGGAGCCTGTGACGTCGCACGGGCTGTCGATGCAATAGCACGACTCCGCAAGCGCTGGCCTAAACAAACATGCAAGATGCTGACGCCTGCTGCCCCAGCGTGCGTTGAAATCGCCAGGCAATCAGTTCTGGCAACTCCCGCTGCATGGTGCGAGTACATATCCAAGGACCCCTTAGTGTTTCAGCCCAAGCGTGGAACACGAGCGCGAGCTGAGGGTTCAGGCATGCGAAGCCGACTCGACGATAGTTCCGAAGCTGCGAGTACGGGCGTCCATGATGTTGATGGTCTCCTGAGACATCCAAGGCTGAAGCGGGCTGCCGTCCTCTAGCCGCAGACTTGACGGGGAAAGCTTCCTCAAGACACGACTTCCAGTGGTCATTGAGCACCTGGCAATGAGAAGAGGGCGAGCTTGTAAACAGCACAGTGGGACAAGCTTGGAGCATGTGCGTGAAACGTTGCACCGCAGCTGGGTCCTCGACGTTGGCGGGGTCGCCCTTGATCTTGTGCTCGCCAAATGCAACAATCGCTTGGCGTGACACTGGCGCTGAAATCCTTGCTTCGACCATAAGATGATCCAAGATAGAAAGTCACATCCATATCCGACATAACCATATGCCTAGTAGCCGACACCCCGAACGAACACGTGATGCAATCTATGCGACGACCTCCCATGAGCCCGTGTGAGCTCGGGGGATTCTATGTCGCCGCAGATTCCTGACCAGACTCCTAGAAGGCTGCCGGGACCCACTGCTCAGTCTCTTCCAGGAAACTGTGGGAGCCATTTCCACGAATGTTTTGCTGCTCGGCCGCGATGGGCCCCACGAACTTGGACATGGTGAACCCGATGCGGGCACTCGCGCCCATGAGGCGGATGAGCTCGACCAGAGGGAACTTGTGGTCCTGTAGGACCTTGGCGATTTCAGTCCACCAAGACTTGACAACTGCTTTTGGTGTTATACTGCCGTGCGGTGAGTGGGCCAAAAACACGTCTAGGGCAAACTTCCCGGCGCGGATGGCAACAAGCAAGTACCCAGGCTCGGATGGCAACAGCAGTATTTAGATAGAATGCGCACACCAGGTAGGACGCCCATATAGGTATTGATCCATAATGAGCAACCGAGTCGATTAGACTCATCAGCTTGTGCATGTATGATGTGGTATGGTGTGACACTGGAGACTCCAGAGCGTGGAAACCTCGACTCCACAGTACCTACTAGAAACAAGAGGTGCTGCTTGAACGCTGCGCTGAGCTGCTTCATGCGACCTGGAAGGAACAATCCTGCTGGTCGTACTTGCTGATTGGGCCTGGCAGACGAGGGGCTGGGAGACAGAACGCTGGCAGCTGCAACCCACAAATAGTAAGATATAGCATCATTATCTTTCGATACCTTGATCTGCTGCCTCTCCCGGAGACAGAGGAGGGAGGAGGAAGGGAGGGAGGGAGGGAAGAGTAGGGATGGATGCAGGAGTAGAGAGGCAGGGAGGCAGGGACGCAGTAGGGATGGAGGAAGGGAGGGAGGGAGGCAGGAGTAGGGAGGGAGGAAGGGAGGGGGAGCAAGGAGGACAACGACGTCCTCTCAGTTCTCCGGCACCCTGGAGTTCCTGGCGGCGTGGGCGCACCAGCGGCTGCCGCGGCGGAGGGTGCGGCCTGAGCGGCCGTCATGCAGTCTAGGTAGCCCTGCTCCGTCTTGAACGGATGGAACGCCGCCTGCCAGAAGTGGCCCTTGCTTCCCCCTCATCATGACCATCAGGAGCAGCAGCAGCAGCGCAGCACCAGCACCAGCATCAGCATCATCATCATCATCATCATCATCATCATCATCATCATCATCATCATCATCATCATCATCATCATCATCATCATCATCATCATCATCATCATCATCATCATCATCATCATCATCATCATCAGCATCATCAGCATCAGCATCAGCATCATCATCATCATCATCATCATCATCAGCATCAGCATCATCATCATCATCATCATCATCATCATCATCATCATCATCATCATCATCATCATCATCATCATCATCACCATCATGATCATGATCATCATCATCATCATCATCATCATCATCATCATCATCATCATCATCATCATCATCAACATCTTCAGCATCATCATCACAATCATCAGCATCAGCATCATCATCAACATCAGCATCATCATTCTCAGCATCAGCATCAGCATGATCATCATCATCGTCATCGTGATAATCAGCAGCATCCGCATCAGCAGCAGCATCATCAATAATCATCATCATCACCACCACCATCATCATCATCATCATCATAATCATCATCATTATCATCATCAGCAGCATCACCACCACCACCAACATCATCGTCGTCATCATCATCAGCATCATGATAATCGTCATCATCATCATCATCAGCATCATCGTCATCATCAGAATCGTCAACATCATCAGCATCATCACCATCATCACCACCACCATCATCAGCTTCATCATCATCGGCAGCAGCAGAAGCATCATCGCCACCATCAGCATCGGCATCATCAGAATCAGCAGCAGCAGCAATCGCCCCCACCACCACCACCATCATCATCATCATCAGCAGCAGCATCATCATCACTATCATCATCACTATCATCATCACTATCATTAGCATCATCCTCATCATCATCATCACCATCATCATCATCATCAGCAGCAGCAGCATCATCATCCTCATCACCATCAGCAGCAGCATCGTCATCATCGTCTTCATCATCATCACCCTCATCAGCAGCAGCAGCGTCATCATCATGAGCATCGTAATCATCATCATCATCATCAGCAGCAGCAGCACCATCGTAATCAGCATCAGCAACAGCATCATCATCATCCTTGCCCGCATCCTCAGCAGCATCATCACCATCAGCAGCAGCATCACCATCAGCATCATCATCATGAACAGTGTCATCATCGTCGAAAGCATCATCTTCAGCATCATCATCAGCAGCAGCAACATCATCATCATACCCATCATCACCACCAACGGTACCATGAGCAGCAACATCGTCGTCACCATCATCAACAACAACATCAGCATCATCCTCCTCATTATCCTCATCATCATCAGCATCCTCATCATCCCCATCAGCGGCATCACAAGCATCATCAGTGGCAGCATCATAATCATCATCCCCATGATCCTACTCCGCATCCTTCTTCTCATCGCTCCCCCTCCTCCTAATCTCCAACCCGACACCGTGATGGACGAAATGCTGATGGTGCTCAAGGGCAGCTACGGGATGGACCAGGTGGCCCTAGAGCTGCAGGGCCTCGGCGTGTACGGGGACGGACGTCGGCGTCGTGAAGCAGGAGATGGCGAAGATGGAGGCCCTGCTCCGCAGCACGGTCCAGCTGCAGCGGGAGCGCAGGGAAGGCACAGTCAGCATGATGCTGCGCGGGTTGTTCATCGGATGGTGATGGGGGGCGCGGACCGCGAAGCTGGAGAGACGGAGCACGCGGAGCCGGTCACGCGGATCAGCGCAGACGCAAAGAAGCAGAAGGAGCTCACCAACAAGGACACGATCGTGGAGATGCCGACGGTGCACAACAAGGAGCGCGGCAAGGGCAAACAAGGAAGCAAAGAGCGCAACAAGAGCAGGCGGCGCGGGAAGTGAAGCAGGCGGCGACGCAGTGAGGAGACGAGGAGCAACGTGTAGCTGTGAATGGGTAGCGAGTTGCATCCGTAAAGTGCGTGCTGCCCCCCATGGTTCCTGGGGCCATGCGACGCCCGCGTTGGCCCGTCGGAGCGCTGTGTCGAGGACCTCTTCTGACATAGGGAACAGGGCCCTCCATTGCAGACGCTGGTCATTACAACTCAGCGCGGTTGCAGCCCGCTCTGTGTCACATGGCTGGAATAACACAGACTACATTCGTTAGAATTGCCATCCTCCTCATCCTCCTCTTCCTCATCGTCATCATCGTCGTGATCGTCATCGTCATCACTATGATCAGAATCATCATTATCATCATCAGCAGCAGCATCATCAGCGCAATCATCATCAGCAGCATCACAACGATCATCGTCATCATCATCAGCATCAGCATCAGCATCATCATCATCATCAGCAGCATCATCACCATCACTATCGTCGTCATAGTCATCGCCATGGGCATCGCCATCGGCATCGGCTTTAACATCGGCGTCATCAGCATCATCATCGCCGTTGGCACCAGCATCATTATCGTCATCGTCGTCAGCATTATCATCATCATCAGCATCATCGACATCGGCATCGTCATCGCCGACACCGTCATTATCATCATACTCGTCGTCGTCGTTACATTCATCAGCATCATCAGTACCAGCATCATCATCAGAAGCATCGTCCACATCAGAATCGCCGCCATCGTCGCCATCATCAGCAACGTCATCATCAGCATCATCACAAGCATCGTCACCATCGTCGTCAACATCATCGCAATCACATGCAACACCATCATCAGAAATCAGCATTGTAATCAGTGGTGACGTCATCGTTATCAGCATCGTCAGTGTCGTCATCAGCGTCATTATCGTTATCATCATTGGCGTCATCGTCATCGTCATTGTTATTCGTAAAACTACTACCATGGCCATCATAACCATTACCATCGTCATCAGCATCACCATCATCCTCATCATCGTCATCATCATGGGCATCACCCTCGTAATCGTCATCGTCATGGGCATCATCATGGTCGTCGTGGTCGCCATCGCCATCATCGCATCATCATAATCCTCATCCTCATCCTCATCCTCATGGTCATCGTCACCCTCATCATCATCATCATCATCATCATCATCATCATCATCATCATCATCATCATCATCATCATCATCATCATCATCATCATCATCTGCAACACCATCAGCAGCAGCCGCATCACCATCACTGCCAGCATTTTAACATGCATCGTCATCATCGTCGTCGCCGTCGTCGTCGACATCATCACCATCAGCATCATCGTCATGGTTCACAGTCGTCATCCTCGTTGCCATCTTCATCAGAACCCTGCGCATAATCAACATCGTCGTCGTCGTCCTCGTCATCCTCGTCGTCGGCGCCGTCGTCATCATCATCATCATCATCACCAGCATCATCATCGTCGTCATCGTCGTCATCGGCATCGTCGTGGTCGTCGTCGTCGTCCCCGTCGTCATCATTGTCATATTACTAGCATCATCATCATCGCACTCATCCTCTTCGTCGTCGTCTTACTCCTCCTCCTCCTCATAATCATCGTCGTCACCGTCGTCGTCATCATCATCGTCATCACCACCATCATCGTCGTCGCCGTAGCGACCGACATCGATTCGTCGCCGTCGTCATCATCATCATCATCATCGTCGTCGTTATTATCATCATCAGCATCATCATCAACATCATGATCGTCATCAGCACCATCGTCGTCGACGTCGTCATGATGAACATCGTTCGAGTCGTCGTCTTCGTCGTCGTCCGAATAACAGTCATAAGAATCTTCATGATCGTCGTCGTCGTTATCAACGTGGTCGGCATCATAATCAACAGCAGCATCACCACCATCATCATCAATGCAATCATCGTCTTCGTCATCAGCATCATCATCATGCTCATCATAATCGGCGTCGTCGTCATCGTTGTCGTGATCGCCGTCGCCGTCGTCAGCGTCACCATTGCCATCATCACCATCATCATCATTATCAGCATGATCAGCGTCGCCGTCATCATCATCGTCGCCGTCGTCGACGTCGCCGTCATCGTCGCCATCGTCGTCGTCATCATCATCGTCGTCATCATCAGCATGGTCATCATCATCGTCGTCGCCAGCCACGACATAATCATCATAATCACCCCGGTCGTCATCATCATCGTCGACGTCATCGCCATCATCACCGTCGTCGTCGCCGTCGTCGTCGACGTCATGATCATCATGATGACCAGCATCGTTGTCGTCGTCGCCGCCGTCGTCATCAGCATCATCACAGTCATCATCATCCTCATCATCCTCATCATCATCAGTATCGTCGTCGTCGTCGTGATCGTCGTCGTCGTCGTCGGCGGCGTCGTCGTCATCGTCATCATCGTCGCCGTCGTCGACGACGTCGTTGTCACCATCATCAACAACACCACCGTCACCGTCACCGTCACCGTCACCGTCACCATCACCATAACCAGCATCGTCATCATCATCATCATCGACATCGCCATCACCATCCTCAGCTTCATCATCACCGTCATCATCATCATCATCATCGTCATCATCGCCGTCACCATGGCCATCATCATTATCAACAGCATCATCAGCATCAGTTCCTGCATCATCATTATTATTTTCACCACCACCATCATCATCACCATCACCATCACCATTGCTACCCTCACCGTACTCACCATAACAGTGGTACTATGTATCATCATCCGTAACATCGTCACAGTGATCATCAGCATAGTCGTCGTCGACGCCATCATCATCATCATCGTCGTCGCCGCCGTGGTCATCATCGTCATCATCACCACCATCATCACATCTAGTATCATCATCATCATCAACATCACCATCACCAACACCATCACCATCGCCATCCTCGTCATCATCATCATGATAGTAAGAGCAACCACTAACAGCAGTAACATCACCTTCACAGTCGTCATCAGCACAGTCGTCGTCGTCGACGCCGTCATCCTCATCATCGGCGTCGTCATCATCAGCGTGGTCAGCG